CACAGGAGAGGAAGGCCCTCTATGAGGTGGATTGATTCAGTGACTGGGATAATTGGGATGGGAGTGTCAGAGACAGTGCGATTGACACAGGACAGAGCGGAGTTTAGGGCTGTTGTACATAGGGTCGCAATGAGTCGCAGGCGACTCAACGGCACATAACAACAATAAAGTCTTTTAAGACACTCACATTATTCAAACTTGTCGGACGGTAAAGGTGGGCTGGCCCTTCTTCAACCAGGAAGAACGTGGAGAACTAGGTGCTGTGAGTGCTGAGGACTGGGGCTGACTTTCTGAAGTATAAGCTTCACGCTGATTAAGAACAACTTATAAATGTCACCACCTCTGGTCTCTACACTCTTGTTTTATGTTCTGAAAAATTTGCTCCGGAGTTGGAAGGCGCCGCTCGCCGCTAGGCGGGGCGGACTGCTGCACGGTCAGTGGTGGGCTCTGCATCTGAAACAGGAGCGGAGGCGGCTCGGCGTCCGGAGACCTGAGGCCCTGCGCGGAGCCGGGCAGAGGAGCGCAGCGCCGCCGCTTCGGGTAGCCGGGGCTCAGCAGCGCCGCCTCGAACTCCATGGGCCGCTTCAACGTCGCCCCGCACGCCGTGCCGCCTCGCAGCCTGGAACCAGCAACCATCTCGAGGGTGATTGCAGCCGACCTCCGGCTTCTCAGCCGCTCTCGCCAGCCAAGATTCCAATTTTGTAAAAAGAAAATAAATTAACTGAAATAATGTCAATTGACACAGGATAAAAAACCCTTAAAGGACATTTGTAGTACAAATTTAAGTAGAAAAAAATATAGTCAAGTAAATAAATCTAAGATCTGGTGGTGTAGTAGGTAAGGAGTTGTGCTTCCAACCTAAAGACAAGCAGTTCAAATCCACTAGCTGCTCTACAGAAGAAAGATGGGTAATTTCTTCCCATGTGATTTACAGCATTTGGAATAGTTCTGAAGGGTCAGTAATGTGCTAGTTCCGACTCAATAGCAATGAATATTGGGAAATCGAAGTACAGAAAATACTGATAATATGTGGCATTTTTGAGGTTGATGTCACTCAGTGTGATTGATGGCTCAGAGTGCCACCCGTCACTGTGGACCCCTCAAACCACATACTTTACAAATGTGGACTATTCATTTCAATCATAGAATGATGTGAACATAGATACAAATTGCTTAAAGATAATATTAGGTTACATGAATTCTACCAACAAAATTGCTTTGTAAATCTTTCTACATTGAATGATGACATTATTAGTGACCGAGTTAAAACTTTTCATTTTTTCTTCTTTCCCTTTAATTACTACTTCATTCTCAAAAAAAGTTATTGACATAATTTGTAAATGCTAGTTATCAAAATTTTGCACCACAAAATTCTACACAATTAGAGACTATACCAAGATTGCAATAGTATGTGTCTGTATATGTAAATAAAACCATGTGACCCAAAGTCTGATTATGATTAGGCAATAATGACAACTCTGACCAGGGGACATTAGAAAGTTCAAAATGGGTGACCCTGGAGGACATTATGCTGAGTGGTATCTCAGTCACAAAAGGACAAATACTGCATGGTGCCACTGTTGTAAAACAGGACTGACCTCGGGGTTGGGGGGAGACTGAGAAAGATGAGTTCAATAATGTATACTGCGTTGAAACAGATGAGGGAGAAAACTGTTTAAAAGAGATATGTGATTAGGTACTTTTGTCATGATGGGAGTCCAGAGCAAAGGCTGCATAGTGGATTGGATGTTGGGGAAAGGATTGTAAAACAATGAAAGAATTTTTCTTTTACTTTTCCAAGAGGGGAGTGTAATATGGGGGGAGGTTTGGGAGGGGAGAAAAGTGCAACAATGAATGAATGAAAATCCAAAGCATGTAAATTTTCATTGAAATTAATAATAAAATTTTTAAAGAAATAAAAATAGTGAGGTCCAACAAAAAAAAAAAAAAAAAAGGAAAGAGTTCAAAAAGTAAATTAACCACAGAACTTTAGCCTTTTATGCGTACTGACACTGAGCTGTCGTGGCTAGTCTAGGAGTGCTGCTAAACCAAAGACCTCGCTTCTCTGGTGATGCAAATCCACCGGCAGCTCCTTACGAGAAACATGAGCAATCTCTTCTCCTCTGATTTACAAGCCTTGATAACTCAGTGGAGCGTCAGCTATGAGTCAGTTCTAACTCAGAAGCAATGTTTGAGAGATTGATACATGTGAACTGTTGCTGTTGTTAGATGTCATCAAGTTGACTAAGACTCATGACAATCCCGTGAACAAGCCAGTCAGAATCTGTGCTTCCCTGTGCCGTCTTCACTACCTCTACCAAGCTCAAGCCTATTGCTGTCACTGTGACAATTTCTCTTTCTGAGGATCTAAATCTGTCTCTCTTTGACTGACTCTCTACTTTGCCAAGCATGATATCTTTTCTGGAGGACTGACCCCATTTATCAAAGTATGTGAGATACTGGCCTCTAAGGAGCACGTTAGTTGCACTTCCTCGAAAGCAGATTTGTTTGCCCTTTGGTTTTATTTAACACTCTCTGTCAACACCACAATTCAAAGGCATCCGCTTTTTTCCCAGTTTCCTTACTCACTATCCAACTTTCACATTCATAGGAAGCAATTGAAAAATAATCATAGCTTGAGTCAGACACACCTTTTTTTTCTTTTTCCTTCCCTCCCATAATTTTTTAAATTATATTTATTTACAAGATTTGTATACATTGTTTTTCACACCAGATCTTTCCCATTTGCTTCACCCATCCCTCCCTTCACCCATCAAATTGTTCGACCCTCTGATTAACCATCCCCACCCCCTGCCCAACCTCATCCCTCTACTCTTCCCTCCCTCTATTGGATCCTCATACTCATTCTACTATAATGTTCTTATACAATATTTATCCTTATGTGACTGAGTTAGTTCACTCAGCATAATGCTCTCCAGTCCCTCCCAAGTTAGGTAATCATTTACAAAATCATTGTTCCTGTGTTCTGCATAGTATTTCATTGTGTGAATGTACCATAATTTCTCAATCCATTCGATAGTGGTTGGACATTTGGGCTGTTACCATGTTCTCACAATGGTGAATAAACATTGGTATATAAGTTTCTATTTGCGACTCAGTTCTAATTTTCTTGAGGTATATTTTGATGCTTTTGAGCTGTGGTGCTGGAGAAGAGTGTTGAGGGTACCATGGATTGCTAGGAAAACAAACAGATTCATCCTGGAAAGGGTCAAACCAGGCGGCTCCTTGGAGGCAAGGATTCTGAGGCTCTGTCTAACATACTTTGGACATGTAAGGAGAGACTGGTCCTT